GGAACCAAGCACCTCACACGCCCCAGGGTTCACCTTTCCCCTTCACATCTTGACTTGACCCTTATGGCCCTTTGTGGCCAACACCCAGAAATACCACCTGCAAGAGCGGATGAGTTGGTATTCCTTCGCGTTAGCTCACTGCCCTCAGACGGCCCCTCTGGGGGAGGGCAGGGAGGGCATACCACCTGCTCTGCCCCTGAGGTTTGGAGGCACAGAGGATACCACAGGTGCTCCAATGGGTGGGGCCGGTGCCCTCTCCCTGCCCCAGCCTGCCACCCTGGTCCCTGTGTCACTGTTGCTTTGTCTGTCAGGGAAGCTAGAATGGGCCAACCTTAGACCCTGCCATTCCTGGGGTCTCTTCCTGTCCAGGACGCTGTTAGATGACGGGGAGGGGACTGTCCCACAGTGCTGTGTTTCATAGCACACACAACTAGGAATGCCACAAGAGCATTTCCAAAATGGTAGCCTTGCCTCCTGAAATAACAGACAGCAGGCTTGATCTGTTCCGAACTAGGGGGCTTCGTTTCTCTCTTCTCCTTCCTCGCTCCCTCCTCTCTCCCTTTGCATTCTTCCCTCTCTTTCCCCACTCATTCTCTTCCTTCTTTCAGCCACTGTTTGCAGATCCCTCGGCCTGTGCCAGGCCCGGTGCTGGGTCCTCATGATACTGAAAAGAATAAAGCTCAGGTCTCCCCATCCGGTTACCACGGCTGGCAGGAAAGAGTGTGGCGGAAGCAACGATTCTGATTTACTACAAGGCAGAATGAAGCAAGGGGGAGTCAGACTGCTGTCTTGGCAGCCGTGCTTCACCGAGACCCTCTCTGTGCCTCCCTTGATATCGTTTGAGCTTCGCAGCAACCATGGGCAAAGATTATTGCATACCCACCTAACAGCTGAGAAAACGGACATCCCGTGCTGCAGGGGGGCTGACACTCTGTCCTCACGCTCAGGCCCCGTCAGCAACAGCCATAGAAGGTCAAAAGAGGAGCCAGGTTATGTGCTTCATGGAGGGGCTACTCTGAGAGCTTCACAGAGGAAGCAGCATCTGAATTGCCCTTGGATTTCGCTGGGCTTGTAAGTCTGGAAACAGTGGCCAGTAACAGGCACTGGGTGGTCGCTCACTCTGTGCCAGGTTCCTGATTCTGCTCCTCCAGGAAATGTTTGCTCCTATCAGCCATCTGGGTCCCACAGGTATAGCCCAGTGACCCCAAGGCAGGAGAGCCTAGGCTGGGGGCCCAGTGGCCCAGGTTCCAGCTCTGCCGTATGTTCGGAGACATTCACTGCCCATCTCACAGAATTTCTGTCCCTGTAAGATACATAAACAAGATGGGCCGCAGGGAGGGGTCCAACCCTGACCTTCTGTGGTTCCGCCAGCCGCAGAGGCTGCTTATGGCCTCCAGAAGCCAGTGTTGTCCCTGAGGGGAGGTGAACTCGATGCAGCTGACAGAGGAGCTGATTAGAGCATAGGAAGCCCCCAGGCCACGCAGTAGCAGCCATCCTTGGAGTGGTAGCTAGGGTCATTTTGAAAGTGATGGTGATGTTCCCATGACCACCTTTCTCAGGCAGGAGGCACCCCAGCAGCACTCAGACTGAACAGACTCCAGCCTGACCGCAGCCTCACCACGCAGCTGGTAAGCCTGGCTCCTGCGGGCCTGCCTGCTGGGAGAGCTGAAAGGGCCCATCTCCGGCAACCCTTCCTGTTCTGGAAAATTGAGTTTTTAACAAAAATAGATGAGTTGTGCTAACATGTAATAAGGGTTTTTTCTTTCTTTTTTTTTTTTTTTAAGACAGAGTCTCACTCTGCCACCCAGGCTGGAGTGCAATGGCTCGATCTTAGCTCACTGCAGCCTCCGCCTCCTGGGTTCAAGCAATTCTCCTGCCTCAGCCTCCCAAGTAGCTGGGATTACAGGCATGTGCCACTACACCTGGCTAATTTTTGTATTTTTAGTAGAGACAGGGTTTCACCACGCTGGCCAGGCTAGTCTCGAGCTCCTGACCTCAAGTGATCTTCCCGCCTTGCCCTCCCAAAGTTCTGGGATTACAGGAGTGAGCCGTCACTCCCAGCCCACATGTAATGTTTTTTATCTTGTTTTTAAATAAGTGCTTCTGAATTCCTTAAAAAAAAAAAAAAAAAAAAAAAAAAGGTAAATGTAAATTTCTGTCTGTAATACCTAGCCTGGCCAATCTTGATAGCTGTAATACATAAGCATGTCCACCGTGGCTATTTGGGCTCCTTTATAATTTGTGACTGCCTAGAGGTCCTGAAGTCAGTTCCACTAATAATCACTGGCCCGTCCCTTGCTCTTCGTCGCAGAGCCAGTGGGGGCTCCGATGCTGGGGATACCAGGTGAGGGGCAGCGTGCAGCAAGCCTGCCGTGGGGTGTTGAGTGAGGGCAGCTAATCAGGACCTTAGCTCCCCCTCGGGGTCTTTAGGTGGGAGACGGAGGGCTCTACCTCTTCCCCAAGTTGTTGAGAGGTAAAGTGGAGGCCTTTGAGACCAGCTGACTACAGACAGGGCCTGGGGCTCACCCTTCAGCTCTGCCGTTCTGGTGCTCAGCGTCTTATGGACTGTGGATTACTGCAGTCCACAGTCATGTGATATTACATCCCCAAAGTATCCTTTGCCAAGAAAACAACAACAGCCCAGTGGTAAAGTCCAGAGTCTCAAAAAGAAAGATCGCTTGATGGCAAGTTCACAATGAGGGAGAAGACGGAATGGCCCCTAAAGCTTCATATTCCATTACCCAGGGTTCAGGCATCCATCAGCTCCCCAGTGACAAATTTATGGTTGGTGATGATTAGCAGGCTCCTTGTAAATTGTGATTCTTTGGCTGGGAATGGAAATTCAATCTCCCTTTCTTTATCCTATATAATAAGCCTGAGCCAAGCAAGGGCCCTTGGGCTCTTCCCAGCTTAGGAAGAAAGCACAGATCAGCTTACAGCATTGTCTCCGGTGCCAGCCATAGGACAGCCTGGGAAGTTAACGTGGGTGGCGGCATCTGGGGGAGGCAGGGAGTGTAAGGCAGGAGTCAGGAGGTTTTGTGGAATTGGAGGAGTTTGAGGCAGGCCTAGGATTTCCTTTATGGAAGACAGGAGAGCCTGTCTGGCCAGGAGGAAGGAGCAGCAAGGGGAGATGGGGCACCCTTGGGGGCTGCTCTGCGGGCGTCGTGGGATGGCAGACAGTGGGGGATGTGTGGCTGGGAGAAGCTGGAACAGCAGGGAGCTGTGGAAGCCAAATGAGCAGGGAGTGAGTGGGGCGACCCTGGGCTCCTGGGCTAAGTCACCGTTGACAATAGCCATCAGTAATGCTCAAGGAGATGGCTTGGTGACCACCAGCCACTGGCCAAACCCTTGCCAGGGCAGGAGGCTCCCAGATGGCCCGATGAGGACAGAATATGTCTCCACAGGCTGAGAAGTTTCCTCTACTGAGAGCCGCCTCTCAGGAGGGGCCGCCTGGTCCAGCCAGGCTGCAGGGAGGGGCCACGCGGTCTCCAGACCTGCAGGAGAAGCACCAGCCTCGGAAGCCGGCGCCCCACAGGCAGACCTAGTCTCCCGTTGCCTGCCATTTCCTGTCTGTAGCTGTATTTAATTTGCACACCTCCTCCATGAGACAGAGTGTTCGTGCCCATTCTAAGATGAGGCTCAGAAAAGTGAAGTGGCTGTTTCCGAGGCCACAGCCAGTAAGGAGGCCAGATTCGCAGCTCTATCCGCCTGCCCTTACAGCCAGCTTTCTAAGACAGTGACGCACTGTGGCTTGGCTCATGAGAGCCAACTGTGCACACTGATCCCCAGCTCTACCCTCGGCCACGTCTCCCTGGTACCTTGAAATTAGCCATGGCTGGCGTATTTATCCCACAGAAATTGGTAAATACTGCATACCAGCCTCCACCCCCCCACGGGTTGTTAAGCATTGGCCGCACACCACTGTCTGTGCGATTCGGGCGCCGATGCTCTTTTGGAGTCGAGCCAGCGGAAAGGGCCTCCCGGTGTGAACTTGCAGCTTCTGTGAGGGGGTTTCCGTGTTCACTCGTTGTTTGGTTAGACTCTGCATCATTCCAACCATTCGACTGATTAGTGAGAAAATCGAGGTGAGGAAATGGGGGTCACAGAATCAGGTGAAAGCAGGCGTTACGGTGCTGGGCAAAATGCAGGCTCCATCATTTCCATGTGTGTGTCAGATTTTTAACGTTAGATGTTCTTATCTTTATTACAACTAGTAGGGTGTGTGTGTGTTTTTAAATATATTCCGAGTTGCTACATACCCATATTTAAAGTAGATGGGGTCAGGATTGAGCCAGGCCTCCCTGGAACGAGAGGCTGGCGTGTCCTGGGGGTACGAGGTTGCCCATTCGCGTTTGCCGTCTGCAGCCTTCACTGCCGGCTTCACTCCTGCCTGAGCTCCTTGTGGGTGGAGGTGGAAGGCAGGTCACAAAGCCAGTGGCTTGGCAGACAGAGGCTCTTCCCTTTCATCTGCCTTGGCCTCTTGATGGACTCGTGACCTACAACCTCTCACTTGACCCCTGACCTCATAAATTCTGGAAACGCCTCACAAATCACCAGGAAGATAAACATCAACTGAGGTCAACAGAAGGGGGTATGAGCCACTCCAGGCAGACTGAGAGGGGACATCCAGTCTCCTGGGCGGGTGGGAGAAACCCTAGAACCATGGGTGGCTCAGGAGAGGGGGCCAAACCACCCTGACACAGAAGCAGTCCTCCAGACCACGCCCCGCAATCTGACCTAGAGAAGAGGCTTGCGTCTGTGGCCACGAGGTGCCATTTGCAGTGCTGCCTGAATCTAGACCCAGGCAGCTTGCCCTTGGTTCTTCTTTAAAGGACATCCATGTGGCTGCCTGCTCCACACACGCATATGTGTGTGTATGATACGTGCAGTGCCAGCCCATTTGCTTGTTACATCTCATTGGCTATCTCCTTTCAGCTGAAATTTTCTCTCTCCTTCTCTGCCCTGTCCCCAACCTGTCTCTTGTCTGTCTCTCTTCCCAGAGGGTATGAACTGCATGAATAAAGACCATGGCTGTGCCCACATCTGCCGGGAGACGCCCAAAGGTGGGGTGGCTTGCGACTGCAGGCCCGGCTTTGACCTTGCCCAAAACCAGAAGGACTGCACACGTAGGTAGATGGAGACAAATGGGTCAGACGTCCCATGCGCCTCCTGCCATTGCTTTCTGGAGGGTCTGTCCAGCCTGCTGGACATTGGCCAGGGAGGGCCCCAAGCCCCATGGGGTGGAGAGAAGGGCAGGGCCTGCTGAAGGGGCCTGATGGGGGCATGAGGGACAAGGGTTGTGAGCCTCAGGCTCAGGGCTTTCCTCAGCAAGCATGACACCACCAGTGTAGCCGCAGGAGCTGGGCTGGGTCTGCGTCAGCCCCTGAGCCTAAGTTCTCCAGCGGGAATGGTGGGGCCATGGCACCAAGGTCTAAAAGACTAGGTTTCTCAATGGGCCTGGGAAGCCCCTGGTAATGAGCAGTAGAAAGAAGGAAAAGAGGATGGTTCTGAAGGGTCCGGTTCTGGGCTGTGCTGACCATATTTCCCGAACCAAAGAGCAGAACTCTGCATGCCTATAGTGCCAGCCGGTTGGGAGGCAGAAGCCAGAGGATCACTCCAGCCCAACTTTGAGTCCAGCTTGGACTACATAGCAAGACCCCATCTCTAAAATAAAATTTAAAGATCAGAACTCACAGTGTGACCTCTGCAAGGCCGGCTGCCAGTGGTGATACCCTGGGAGAGGAGATTGGGGCTGAAGGAGGCCTCTGCCCAAAGACGCCATTTCAGGATCTGCCTGGTGGTCTGCCTGCGGGCGCATGCATAGTTCAGCCTCTTCACGGGGTCCCCAGTAGGAGTAGGAGCCCGGAAACCAGGTAGAACAGCGGCTGAACTCAGAAGCTTGGGAGCCAGCGCATCCTGCCACGGCTACACGGGGAGACGGCGGGTTGGGCCTCTCCTTGTTGGAAATGAGGGCACCATGGATACCCAAAGTGATGTCACATGTGCCCTGTTTTTACAAAGAGCCAAACGAGACTGCTGGAAGCGCTTTCCACCTCTGGCTGGAGACAAGTGCTTCATCTCAGGCCCACTTTCTAACAGAAAGATGTTATGGCAAAGTCCAGTTCCAACCCCCAGCAGAGCGGGGGGTCCCCACCCCGGCTGTGGAAGTGAGAGACTGGGCTGCCTGCCGTCATAACGAAAATGGCCTTCCACCATCATTCTGTGGAGCGGACAGCTGTCCTTGCTGGTCCATCGCCCGCAGTCCCTTATCCTCTCCGTTGTCATCAGCTCCCCTCCGGCTGCCTGGCCACACCTTTCCTGACTCATGCCCTCCTAGAACAGACCACCATTCTCTGTGTTTGTGGCTCTTTCCTGTAGGGTAGCCAAGGTAATCCTGTATACTGTCACCCAGGGCAGGACGAAACAGCGGCAGTCTCCACTGGAAGTGCTAGCCTCCAGCCCCAGGGCTCCAGCCAGGGCCCCTCTCCACACCAAATGGATTCCTTTATCTGCCGAGAAGCCTTCTGGCCCCCAGCCGCCTCAGAACAGAAGATGCTGACTCCAGCTTTCCCAGTCTCCGCTGTCGTGTGATCTGAGTTTCCTACAAGAAAGGCCAAGGTCAAGAACGTATGGAGTCGGCAGGCTTGTGGATAGCCCTGGCCAGAAGGACACTGCCTTCCCTCAGTCAGAAGACAGGCCGAGCACCTGCTCAAACCGGGCTCCCAGCCCAGTGCCACGGAGAGGCTACAGGTGGCCTGGCTGGGGCCACCTTGCTCCCTGATCCCATAGTACATCTGAGACAAGCACTACCAGGAGGAGTTTGCTCAGAGAGCATCTTCTGGGTGCCGGCCTGTTGTGAAAGGTCAGGGACTAGGCAGGGCCCTGTGAGCAGCTGGAACGCCCCCCACAACCCTCAGCTACCCCTGCCAGGGAAGGGCTCCGCCCTTGCCTGGAATATGTGCTGGTTTAAGAAACAGCAGTCCCACCCTCTCCGTGGGTGGCTGAACATCACCGAGGTATGGAGAGCCTGATGTGATCTCTGGGGCCTGAGGCCTCCCGTGAAGGACCCGCACAGGCAGCTGCCCAGCCAGCCCAGCCTTGGCTGCTTCTGTGAGGTTAACAAGCCAAGGCTGCTGTGAAGTAAGCTCTGAGACTTTCACTCTAGTCCTTGAAGTCACTTGAGTTCCAGGAAATTCCAGATCGCAAGCTGGGTTGGGGGCTGAGGCCTGGCTTACCCAGCCAGCCTCTAGCTCAAAAGGACTGCAATGTTCTGAACCAAGCTGTCATCCGTCCAGAGCCCAGGACCTACTCCGGGGCCAGGCCAGAGGAGGTTTTCTCCGCCCTCTGTCCGTCTCACAGAGCTTGAGCTCAGACGTTTCTGCGTAAAAGCCGTACGTTCTCCAGTACTCGAAGGCTCGACCCTTGCGGGTCTGTGAGACGCACAAATGCCTGTGTGTAGGGAACCAGGACCCCTGAGCCTGGACCTCCCTCAAGTTGCCTCAGACAGGCATCTATTCTCATTAGAGTCACTTTTAGGGCACAGCCTGTCTCCAGGAGCCTGGAGCTCAAGAAGGACTGCCCTCTCCTCAGCTACACCCCTGCCCACTCTGAAGCAGGAATCTCCTGGGTCCTAGAAAGGCACACGACGTCCAGCCCAAAGTGGGGCTCCACCTGGGTCTCTTCCCATCGCCTGAGATCTGTGCAGACCTGCAGCCTCCCGGAACCCCTGGCTTCCCTGGGTTCCCTCCTGGCCATTGAGATGAGCTACGGAGAGATGAAAGCCAAGCTCCATCCAGGGTGCCACCTCCACCCTGGAGAAGAGTCACTCCTGAGGAGAAGGGGCTGGAAGGCTTTGTGCTTGAAACCCAGCTGTGTTTCTGGAAGCATTCCTGAAATTTCACCCTAGAAGTCTGCTCCCTCCTCTGTATGATCCGCAGCTCCCTGTGGAAGAGGGAGCAGCCCCTTCGAGCCCCTGGCTGCAGAGCGCAGTGTCTGAGGCACTGACACCTGTCCCCACCAAGCCATCTTCTGGACATCCTCCTCACTTGCTGTGAAGGTAGCATGTGTCCGAGGCTGAGGCGCCACCGTCACAGGACAGGGAACGCTCTGCATCGTTCTCTGTGAAAGGAGGAGCGTGGGGAAGCGCAGGTGCAGAGTCAGTTCTGAAACGTCTGAGATCCTCCTCTGGGAGACACCACCAAGTCACTTCCCTTTGGCACCAGCTGTGCTCATGGGTCAACCTGACAGAACACAATTCATTCAAATTCTCAGAATTTGGGATTTTTGGCCCCTCTAACCATGGTTGGTCGGAGGTTTATTTTTGCATATTTGGTCTTTAGGATTTTACCAAATAAAGAAAGAGTGGAGCTTAGATCGATGGTTGAAGTACCTAGGAACACACCCCATGCTGAGGCCCTGGTGCTCATTTGCTTTCGGGTGATGGCCTTGCAGCTGTCTCGCAGCATCACAAGGCGGGGGGGCCCCACACCCCCTGGGGAGCACTGGCATCACTGCTCCCCTCTAGCGATCTCTCTCACCCTGGAAGTGGACCGTGTGTTTAAATAAACTTGAATTGGTAATTTTTCCAACTTCAGACTCCTTTTTGTTCTGACCCCTTTTCAGCCTGGAACCCAGCTTGTTGATGATGTGAACCATCTTGGCCACAGGCACTGAAAGCAATGTAACATTGTTATTATTTAGGCAATTTTCAAAACTGTACCCCAGATGACATTAATTGGCATGAGTCTGTCTGTTCCAACATTGTTGAGCTCCAGGAGGATTAGGGCTTTCAGGGGAGAGGGTTTGAGGTGGCCCCTGGGGATCTGAGAGGGCGGACATCCAAGGAGACATCCACACGCCCCAAAACAGGCAGAGGACAGAAAGCCCTGCAAGAACTAAGGACATGAGGGTCACCTGGAACCACAGGCCTCCATCTCCCTCCCCCTTGACAAGTATGTCCTGGTATTGACAGACATTTGCCCCATCGAGATAGGCAGCTGTAAAGTGTCCTGCAGCCTGGGAAGGATGAAGCTGTCTTCATCTACCACAGCCTGAGCACATCAGCTCTGTGCCCAGACCATTCTCTGTCCCACCCCAGTTCAGCTCCAGGGAGTGAGGGATTCCATAGAAGATTCTGGAGGGGCCGAAGTGCAGGGAGATGCGTATCTGTTGCCCCGCAAGCCTCATGACCCTACCCACTGATGGCCTTAGGCCTCAGTTTCCCCATACCCTGAAGGAAACAGCCAACACCAACAACTAATCATTTTTGTTGTTCTGTTTATACACATGTGTGTACACTTTGGGCCTAACTAGTAACCTGTAACTATGGAAACGGAGGCTGCCAGCACAGCTGTGAGGACACAGACACGGGCCCCATGTGTGGCTGCCACCAGAAGTACGCCCTCCACTCAGACGGTCGCACGTGCATCGGTAAGTAGGCACCTCCGCCGCACACCACCCTTGCACCCCCCACCCACCCTGCGTGCACCAGCGGTGCCAGCACCCTGCCACGTCCGGGATCCCCGGAAAGGAAGCTTCAGGGAAACAAGGAAAGGCAAGCCCATGGCAATGGTGGGGATGGCCGATTCCCCTGGGGAAGTTTTCTGGGGAGGCTTCTCTGGGGCCTGCAGCCCCCCAGGACCAGGCTCCTCTGCTTCATGTTCCCTGGCGATGCCTAATGCAGGCTCCCTAGCAGCGGGGGTCCTGCATGTCTTCGTCCTGGAAGTGAGGGGTGGCCCTGGGCAGGGGGTTTCGGGGAGAAGGAAGGTGTACACACCTCTAAGAGCTTCTGCTCCAGAAGCACAGGGGTTTCCTCCCCTAATACGGAAAACAGCCAGATTCAGGTAACTGCACACAGCCACGGTAGTCATGGGAGCCGCCCACGGCTGGAAAACCAAGAGGTTTCCTCAGAACTTCACTTTGAGTGGTCATTGTCTAAACTCCAGGGGAGACGGGCAGTGTGGGCCCGCATGGGTATGGTGTTTTAACTGCTGTCTCTCAAGCTGCCAGGCCCCTGCTGGCCTTCCTCCCCCACCCGAAGTCCGCTCTTCTCAGCGCTGCCCGGCCATCCCCTCACCTGTCACATGGAGTCTTGATCTGAGTCTCTGCCACCTTCTTCCTCCTGGTCCCTCTTTCCAAGGGGAAGATTGAGTATTTGTGATTATTTCATGCCATAATCACTAGTAGGTTTTTTTTTCTCCCACTTAAAAATAACGGCACAGTTTTTAACTGAGAAAGAGTAGCATTTCAGAGCTGGCGCCCAGAGTTCCACCCTTCCTGTGTTGGCACGCTTTAGAAACCCAACACAAGTTCGCTCTTTTTTTTTTTTAAGCCCTATTTCTTGCTGTCAGTCTGGAAGATGCTTCTCGAGGGAGTCTCAGGGGACAGGGAAAGGTTGGTCAGCAAACAGAAGCCCGTGAGGCCAGGGCATGCCCCTGCCCTGTCTCCCAGGACACTGCCCCCACGAGTCTCAGGGAGCGGGGCCCGGGCGGGCGCCAGGCTGTCACCTCTGTAGTCCGGGGCTGTCATCATGGGTTCTGCTGCCTGCGGTGGCTCTCCCTCTGTGTGGTCTCTTCTTTCAGACAACCATTTTTTATTTCATTTTTATCTCATTGCTCCTGCTTTTCTGGTGATGGTCCCTGATTGCCTGTCTTGTCTGATAACTGACGTTCATTAATTATTTTCAGAGCCAAAAGCCAAACCAAACCAACCAACCAATTAAAACCAAAATTAAAAGCCAAACCCGCTCTCAGACCAGTGTCTCTATTGCAGCCTGATCCCATCTAGAACCTCCTCTCCTCCGGCCTCTCTCCCTCCACTGTCCGGCCTGGGGCTCTCCCGGGCTCCCCCAGGCTCCCTCCTGTCTCGTCTGCTAGAGGTCTCCCGCACGGTTTGCCGTCTCCGCTGGAGCAGGTGCAAACGGCTGCCGGGCCAGATACACCCAGCCTTCGTCTAACGCATCTTGTCTTGTCCACCTGAATCATCCTTTCTTGCTTTTTTTATTTTTCAATGTCTACTGCATGTGAAGGCCCCTGCTTGGATCTCCTTTCTAAAGTAACTTCCCCAGCCCTGCCTCGGTAGAAATCAACTTCCTTACCCAGCCCCTGCTGCTGCTGCTGCTGCTGCTGCTGCTTCCACTCCTGTTCGGGAAGAGATGCCTTTCACCTGACTTTGCCCACTGTTCATCCATGTCCCTGCTTGGGAACCAATGTCTCCACACGTTTCCCTCTGAGCAAAGAAAGTCAGCCCAGCTAACCTCACCTGCTCCTCCACTGGAAGCCTCGTGGCACAGCCAAGATGCTCCCCGGCCCGCCCCGGGCCACTGCTCCCCGCACACTCCTAAAATCAGTGTTCCCTCTTTGTACCCCCTTGTTGAGCACTTGAATGTTTAGCCCTAGTCCTCTATAGACAAGCAGGCAACCAGCGCTGCCCAAATCGATCCCGTGGTTTTTCTGTGTCTTTTCTATTGGATTCATTGTGTGTATGTGTGTCTATTTTGTTCTTAATTTTGCATGACTGTTGACACAGCTTCATGTCCCTGTGACAGAGCCTCTGCTGTCTCAGGGGCATCCATCACCGGACCTTGTGGCCCTGTCCCCTTGTCCTGTGCCTTGTCCTATGCCTGCTTCTCCAGCCTGAGCCACGGGGGTCCGTAATCTGCTTGTGTCTCCATGAAGCACCACGGTGTGCTTTCTGCTTCTGTGGCTCTCTGCAGACAATTCCTGTCTGCCCTAACCTCAGCTTCCTCCTCTGTTTGCTTACCTGTGGGCCCTGAGTCCCCTCTATGTCCTAGGTCACTTTGTGATCATTCCTCCTTTCCTGCACGTCCCCCCACCCCCACCGCCTCTCTGCTTTGCCCTGAACACCCCCACCTTGGAGGTTCCTGGGATTAGCCCCTTGGCGAGGATGCCGAGCTGGCCGGCGTGCTGTGTTGGCTTTGCGTGCACCACGCCGAGAGGCTGACTGTCTTGGGCCGCGGGAAGTGGGCTGTCATTAACCACTGGCTCCGTGTTTGTCCCTTACTTGTGTTTTAGAGAAGGATGAGGCTGCAATTGAGCGCTCTCAGTTCAATGCCACGTCAGTAGCTGATGTGGACAAGCGGGTGAAACGGCGGCTACTCATGGGTAACACTTTTCTTCCACTTCCTTTGTCGTACTTGCACTTGTGTGTGCGTGCGTGCACGTGTGTGTCTCGGGTGTGCACTGGCATGTGGATACGAGAGTGTGTGTGCTGTGTGTGGGTGTGGCTAGTGCGTGTGGGGGCATATGTCTGTTGTGGGGTGTGCCCACGTGTGTGCGGTCCTTCGTGCTGTGTGAGTGTGGGGGGCTCCACTCCAGATGTGAACTCGCTTTTTCCTTTTTAAAGTTTTTCCCTCCATCAAACACGTTTGTTCTGTTTATGTGTTTGTAGCAAAGAACCCAGGGCTGTTATCCTCTGGCCTGTGCATGTAAGGAGACGAGTGTCACACTGAAAAGGTCTTTTCACATTGAAAAGCTCCCCCACTTGCCGTAAACACCCACGTTCGCAGTTAGGATCCCCAGGATCAGCAAAGCAGCAGGATCAGACTCAGCGGCAAAAGAGGGCATTTGAGTAGACAGGGGTCTGGGCAGTAGAGTCATCATGCATCTCCTCTCCTGGGAGGGAAGCTACCAGCCAGAACCTCTAGGACCTCTCACAGAAAAAGCCACCTGCTTCTCAGTTGCTGCTCAGGGAGGGTGTCTTGGGAGACCTGCTGGCAGGGCTGATCAGGGACCCGTGTGAGGAGAAAAAGAGGAAAAATCACTGCTTTTCGACAGAGCTCAGTGTGCACAGTGGAAAGCAGACTTCCTCATTCATTCATTCTTCTCTCTCCATCAGTCAGTTCACTGCTCTGCTGGCCTCTAGGTTGTACCAGCCGCCCAGGACCTCCTGAGCATAGCTGTGGTCACCTGGGGTTCTCACGACCTTCTTTATGGCTCTCTGCTCACACCAGCTTTTGCAGCTATGGGGTCAGGTGGTGCGGTCTCCATTTCTCTGAGGGAGAGACTGAGGCTCACTGGAGTGCCCTGGCTTGCCCAAGGTCACACATCACCCTGCAGAGCTGAGCTCTACCCAGAGGTCCTGACCATGTGAGCTGTTTCAAGCATCAAGGCTGCAGGGCCAAGTGGAGGGCAGAGCCTGAAGGTCCTAGAGAGGGAGCTTTGTTTCCTGGCCCTCATGTGGACCTCAGGGGGACCAAGCATCTAGAGAGGAAGCAAGAGGGGGTCCGGGGGCCACGGGGGATATGGTCTTGTGTGCTACTGTGAAGGCGTCAAGCCCATGCACTTGTTAGGGGCTTTGAGGAGCTTGTGGGTCTGGCTGACGGTGCTCTGTGAGCCCTAAGTCCATGCTAGATAGGACAGCAGCGGCCCTCTTTTCAGATGCGAAGAGTAAGGGCCAGAGAGGTCAGAGCTTTCACCTCTGGTCACACAGGCAGACAGGGAAAGCTCAGGCTGGAAGCTAGTTCTGCAAATTCTCTGGGCAGGTCTGTTTTGTTGACTTGGGAAGAGCTGGCGATGGCAGGTTGGGTTGCCGTTGAGCCTCCAGCCTCACCCCTAGCCAGCAAGTATGACCCCTGCCCTCCAGGCAGGCATGAGTCAGTGCTATGGACCTTCTGGAAAGGTGGCTGGAAGCAGCTGGAGGGAGCCCCAGAGCTGTCAGTGTTCTGAGGTCACTCTCAGGTCTCAGGGGGCCCAGGGCCCTCGGCCTCACTTACTAGGAGAAGTGGGCACTATCATCTGAGGCCAGAGCTCCAAAAGCAGGCAGGACCAGGAGCTTTGTGGTCCCTCAGGCACCCTGTGACCTTCCCAGGAAGAGGATGGGTGGGGGAAGAGGGCCACGCTGAGTCGGCATCACATAAATGGGTGGCGCAGGGGTGGGGAGAAGGGCCTCTGTGCTTGCATTCAGTAATGAGAGTCAATGGATAAAGGCTCAGATCTGGTACCTGGTACAGGGGGAGGTGAGGGGGGCCCTGAGGATGCAGGAAGCCCCAGCCTGGGTTTGGGGCAGCCTGAAGGGACAGGTCAGGGTGGGGACCCTCCCCTGCACCCCCACCTCTGTGATTATCACAGTCCCCCCATACCACCCCTTAGAGCTTGTCCTGCCCCAGACAGAAGAGCCTTCTCTTCCAGTCTCCCTCCAACATTAACCAAAGGGAGAGCAAATAGCCAAGGCCTCACACCTGAACGAGGAACCAGACTCAGGCTTCCGAGAAGGGTCAGTCCAGGGGCCTCGAGTCTAGAGCACAGGTGAGGCTCTCTCTCACAGCTCATCATTCTTAGCACTGTCTCCTCTAAGAACAGCCTGTGGGGTGAAGATACAGAATCCTTCTGGACTTCAGGGCCTAACTGGTAGCGCCCGACAAGGTGTGGCTGCTCCCATGCTGTATTAACAGAGGCAAGGTACGGAGAGTAAGGGAGGTGACCATTCCCCTCCTGCCCCATGCTGGTCAGGTGCACCAGGGCATCACACTCAGAGCCAGGCCCTAGGTAGGGAGAGCAACCTAGCTGGTGAGGGCTCAGACCTGAGTCATCCTCATCTGTTCATGTTGCAGGATTCTTGGGCTGTGGCAGAGAGTACATCCCAGTAGATCCTGGGCCTATGGGCAGCCTGAGCCCCATTTAGGGTTCTGGGAGGGGAGAATGGAAGGGCAGGCACAGGCAGGAGCCAGTAGCAGATGAGAAAAGTGAGACCCCGAGGAGTTTCACATCAAGGTTAGACCCTGGCCCACCTGGCTCCAGAGTCCGTGCCCTTGACCGCGGCACTGGCCAGCTCCCCACGAGGTCGGCTCGGATGCTCAGACCCCCAATCCCTGGCAGCACCGGCAAGCCAACGCGGCCATCTCTTAGAAACCACGGAGGGGCGGATGCTGTGGCTCAGAGGGGCTAAGGGCTCCAGCCGTGCAGCTGGGCCGGACAGAGCTGGGATTCTGGCTCCGGTGAGGGAGTGGGGTGCTCCCAGCAGAAGTCACAGTTGTGTCTAGAGTGTGGCCGGAGAGAGAGAAGCCCTCCAGCACAGCGGCCTGGGCCAGCCCTGCCCCACCCTTGGGTTCTCACCTTTTGTAATAATCACCCCAGTCCCTGAGCACAGGTGAAGAACAGAGTAAGTTATGTTTACTCTAAAGAAGCCCCAAAACGTATAACCATTGTAGACTCCCTTTATAGTCAGTTAAAATGGCTGGATCTGCAGGTTAAAGTGATACCTTCAATTATCTGGCAGACTTACGTGAAACAGCTGAGTGCCCAGCGAAGGGTGCAGCACGGGCGCTTGTCTCAGGCCCCCGGGACCCTGCTTGGCGCAAGGTTGATAGGATGCAGGGCGCCACTCGGGTCGGCTCCAGGTCTTCCATCAAGCCCCTCACCCCGGAGCATGCTTAGGCTAGGTGGAGCCTTCCGCTCCTCTTGCTGCTGCTAACAGACCCCAGCAATCCCCCTCACTTAAGACAACAGGCTTATTATCTTCTGTAGGTCAGAAATTTGACCTGGGGCTCACTGGGCTAAATTCAAGATGTGGGCAGGGCTGTTCCTTTCTGAGGGCCCCAGGGGCCGATCCCCTTCACCTTTCCAGTTTCTAGCGCTGCCCATGTTCCTTGCCCCTCGGCCCCTCCTCCACCTTCAGAGCCAGCAGCCTGCTGTCCCCGACCCACCCCAGTTCTCACAACTCTGTTTCTGACCACCCCCCTCAGTTATTCTAAAGGACCCCTGTGATCACACTGGGCCCCTCCAGATAATCCAGGCTAATTTCCAGTCTCATGTTCCTTCATTGCATGTGCAGGGTCCCTTCTGCCAGGCAGAGTCATGGTTTCTGGGGATTAGGAGGTGGGCATTTTAATGGGTCATTCTGCTAAGACAGATGGTTACACTTGGGCTGAAGGGACCCTCTGTTAGGGCAGAGCCCACACATGCTGTCTTCACTGGCTGAGCCCCAGGACCATGAGCCTCCTCTGAAACTAGTCCTGGGGGTGTGGGATGCACCCCACCCCCTTCCTGAAGGCTCCACTGGCTGCCCCAGCTGTGGGCACTCACCCTTCGGCAGACAGCCTTGGTGGTGTGTCTTTAGCCCATTCCCTCTGCCCTGGCTCTTCCACCTCACCAGTACTGTTCAGTCTGCCACAGTTGGCAAAGGACTTTCCAGGCAGCTCTCCAGGGAGTGTTCCCACTGCACAGAGGAAGACCCTGAGCCCCTGAGAAGGGAGGCCACATGGCCAGTGAGCAAAGCCTGGGCCAAGGTCCCAGCCCTGTGGACTCCCAAGTCCAGGGCCCCAAGTTAGGAGCAGAACCTGCCTGAGGAACGTGACTGTGCAGGCCCAGCAGCCATTCCAGCTGTGATCTTCCTCCTGTGGGCACTGAATCAGCAGAATGCACAGCTGGCCCATTCCAGGCGTCCCACCACGCCCAGGGCTGCAGCGGGGCCTGAGCTGCAGGCCAGGGACCCCAATCTGAGTTGACCCTCAGCCCGAGCTATCTCTGGGCCTTGCACTCTGCACCCTGTTGACTTCAACCTTACAGCCACCCTGAGAGCAGTGCAAGTGCTTTAGAGAAGAGGAATTGGGGGAAAGAAAGGCAGCTGGGAACGCCTCCCCCTGCATGCCTGCGGCTGCTCCTGCCAGCTCCCCGAGCCGCTCCACCTTGTCCAGCGTAGGCCCAACCTTCTCTGCCTCCTCCCCGGATCTGGCTGGGAGCAGGTGCTTGACGATGCTTATGGAGGTTGGAGCAAAGAGGAGCAGTGCCTGGCCCGAGAGGACCTTGGGTTCCAGCAGGGACAGGCCCCCGAGCCTTCCCTGTCCCCCCATACCGTAAGAGCCATCTTCATAAGTGTTCCCCAGGCGGGTGCCAGATGGAGGCCAGGACCAGCCCCAGCATCTGTGACTCCCTTGATCAGCAGACACTGCCTGGGCATCTCCGGGGAGACAGGGCCCAGACCTGCAGGAGCCTGGAGGAGAGGGAATAGCTTTGGCCTTGGAGCCGTGCAGCCTGGGTGCCTGTTCCGGCCACTTCGTGGAAGCTAGGCTTGCTCAGGCGAGTTTTTAGCGTCCCTCAAAACTTTTAGAGTGGCACCAGGCACGTAGGAAGCACTAGCTATGTGTCAGCTGTGTGACGTAGTTGGG